TCTCTCTCTCTCTCTCTCTCTCTCTCTCTCTCTCTCTCTCTCTCTCGGTCTTCTTCTTCGTCGTGGTCTTCTCTGCAGGTGCGCGCGGCGGCTTCTTCAACCTCGATGTCTGCTATGGCAGACTTCTTCTTCGTCGGCCACTTCGCTATGGCGCATCACTCTCCCTGCGACACACAACGCGGCGCGTGGAATAGCGGGTACCAGCTCCGATACCAATGCAATCAGACTTGCTTCCATTCACACTTTACATGCGTGCAAACAGTAGCGCAGCAAACTGACGACATGCGCCCACTCAGTACTCAGAGATTGGCAACCCAGATATGAGTTCACTTCCAATGGCTATGGCGACATAGCGCCCATACAACTCTTTGTTCGCATACAGTGGATCACCCTGGATATCCCACACGCAACTCTCTGAACACTCACACACACACACACTGAACCCCCAACTACAGCTATGGCGGCTATGGCCGCCGCTACCCTATCGCTATGGCTAAGCTTCGTCTCTCTGCCCACTTCGTCTCCGGGCTCACTGCAGACCTCCTTGCACAAGTCGTTGTGGCAGCGCTTCCGCATGGCGCACGCAGGAATGAAAAAAATGAATGGCTGGACGCTGCCTCTTGATTTATACTTCTGCAGTGCGTTGGTCTGACCCCTTTCCCAGACCCGAAGTGCACACAGTCCCATGCGGTACTTGCTTGACTGGACCAGGACTGCCTAGGACTGGGACTGCCGACTCAGCACGGGCAGACTCCACCACTTGCCTCGCCACTTGCCCACTTGCTTTAGCTTAAACGTGGGACACTCCGAAAGGCCACTACTCAGACCTTCCGGAAGGCCGTAGACTTGGCCTTTCGGTACTGTAGCAGCTACGACTTTGACCCTTCTGGACTGTAGCAGCTACGACCTTGACTCTTCAAGAAAGCTACAGCTACGACCTCTAGACCTGGCTGGGACTCCTATCCGACAGGTCTACAGATCAAACCCTTGCTAACTATGGACCCTACGGCAACCTATCAACTATTACAAATACACAGGTCGCGGGTTCAACTCTAGGGGTCGACACAGGTACTGTACACAGCTAAGGTGGGGACTAGGGATCGAGCCCTGGGATCTGCATCAGCTACTGCGAACTGGTGAATACCATTTCACTTACCAGTTCCCGAGCCAAAGTCAGAATAGCCTGGTCTGGGAATCCTCCTGCATCTTGACCAGCTGAGGGAGTCAATCCTCTCCGGTCAAAGCCTGTTGAGTCTTCCGCAGACTCCACTGCGTGCCACCTCACTTTGCTCTCCCTCTGACTCTGAGAAGGGGAGGTGCTTCCCGCCTGGGAATTGGACTGGATTTGGAGTTTAGCCTCCAGATCCAAGGCTGCTCTGCCAAAGGCCCTCCAGCCGTTGTGACCTGCAGTAAACAGGGTTTGTATATAGGTTATCGGGGTAGCCTGGATAAACAATTGCAATTTCCCCTGGTCAGACATTGATAACCCAGGGGTAGAGGTTAGTCTTTCCCAAACTGCGTAGAGCTTGGAGAGGGATCCCTGCCATTGTGACTGGCCTTACCTCACAAGCTCTGCAGCAGCTTCGTTGGCTCTCTCTCGATTGGCGAACCTCTCCTCCAGACCCTTAAATATGTGGTCCAATCCTACTGTAACAGCCCAGTCGGCCAGCTGTTTCTGGGCCTTATTGGCCTCAGAAGTAGCCCACTGAAGTGCAGGACCTCCCAAACGGGCCACAGTGGACTGCACCTTGGTAACCTCTGGGCAAGTGAGTTCCTTGAGGTACCATCTCATCGAGGCAGTCCAATCTGCTACATCCACTTTGGGGTTATTCCCAGTGAATGTTTCAGGTTGGACTGTCTTGGGACGCCTCGATTTCTGCTGGCCTAGACCTGCGGTCACTTTAGCCTCAGAAGTCACAGGGTGCCCTGCCACAAGCTGCAGGGACTGCACCTTTGGAGGTGTAGCCGGTCTGCTCTTGGGGCTACTGGCTTGGGATGATGCAGCAGCAGAGAACTTTGCATGGGAATGGGGTGTAGCGGAAGTAGGAGTAGGAGTAGTGGGAGTAGGAGTAGGAGTAGGGAGGAAACATAGATTAACAACTGTCACAAAACGATCAAAGGTATCTGCAAGGGAAGAGAGTTTGGTTTCGATGATGGGCAGTCTGTCCGCCATCGAAGTCAAACTTTCATCCCAAGAGGCGTGTTCTTCCCTCCGCACTTCCTTGGATTGTCTCGACCTTCCTTCCTTCTGCTTCTCCATTTGCTCCAACTGCAACCGAGCTGCCTCTACAACCTTACCTACTTCTCCAGTATTGAGCTCAGTGACAGGCAACTTGCAATTCCCTGCACTGATTGAACTTTCTTTCCCCATACCAGAAGATTTTTTTCACACAACAAGATAAACGCGAAAGTGTTCAAAGGTTGAAGATCATTCACTAGTCTACTCAGATATGGAATGTGGTGTTGATTCCCAACCCGAACAAGTTAACAGGCTTGACAGGCTCACGGGAATGGCACTGACCACCAAGACTGACCAACAGGGTTGTGCTTCCAATGGCAGTCTTAACTGGTCTGTGACCTCCCGCTGATGGGGTCACTTCCCAATTCCCAACTCTGCGTAGGATTGTTTTCAGGCGCAGGGACTGACAACAGTGACTGACACCCAATTGCATATGGACCCAACCTCGACCAGCGAATATCTTCCCACAGAAAATTATTTATTTGTTAGAAAAACAAATAAAATAAAAGTGGAATACTCAGATTACCGATCACACTCAGAACCCAGATAATTAGAGTTAAACTGTGTTGTTCAGTGGTAAGGGGAACACGACAGGTTAGTGCGAAATGTCAAGAGAAAGTATGAGAGGTTATGGGCTCAACCCAACCGCCAAAACCGTCAACGAATTACTTTAACTAAGCCCATAACCAAATCAGAAACACAAACTTTTCTTTTCTGATCAAACTCACAACAGAGCCTTCTCACAACCGTCAGCATTTCACGACAAGGGAAATAATATATATATATATCGTCAAATAGAACTGCCCGGTAAACCGTAGGCAGAGAGGGAGAAGAGGACAACAAACGAGGGGCTGTGATAAACTGTTTCGTCGGAGTTTCACCGACTCATCAGGAGGCTGAGAGAGAGAAGAGGACAACAAACGAGGGGAATATATATATATATATCGTCAAATAGAACTGCCCGGTAAACCGTAGGCAGAGAGGGAGAAGAGGACAACAAACGAGGGGCTGTGACAAACTGTTTCGTCGGAGTTTCACCGACT